AAGTGGAAATTATGATATCTCTCGCCGGAGCTTGTCGCTTACATTTTATGACCGCCGATGAGATTTTTATCAGCCCGCCCCAAGGAATGAAGTTGCGCAGCAAATTAAACAATATATATAAAATTAAATTAATTAAAAATTGTTTTGTTGAATGTGCAAAGATACCACAAATAACCTTGATAATATTATGGAATAGACTCTAACAGAAATAATATTAGCCGTTGCTTATGTGGAATTCCATTTTATTCTGATTTAAGATTCCAAGCTGTCTCTCTATATCTAATTCTATATCATGGTCTCATATAATCCGCCCGATTTGAAAACTTACAATTTACATTATGCTTTAAGTAAAATTTCAATTAAAGTTGGACCCACTCTCATTCAAGCGTGCACTTCAAAGCACGATTTATCTTTGCATCTGGGCAAAGGAATGTGCTGGACTGGGCCCCTTAATTATAATTTAAATTAACTGAATTTGCTTTATTTGATTTGGCTGCTTTAGTGTTTTCAGTGGTTTTTCCGGCCCATTGCTGACTTTGGTACATATTTTTTGGCTCTAATTGCGTGCCCCAAAAACTGAGCTCGGCCGAGATAAGCCTTTTTGTAGTGGTGCTCAGACAGGCGACGAGGAAGGACACGGCGGATGCTGGGCACATTTTGAATTTATTAGCCAGTGGGTCGAGCTACGCATTTGACCCTATGCCTACGTCTCCTATGGCGCTTGTGGATTTTATGTGAGCCTCTCGAATTATCTTTTTCTTTTTTTTGTTTTGTGAAATTAATGCGGCAAACACTAATTAATTGCGCAGGTGTTGCAGCTGTTTTACCTGCTGGTCTTTTGTTGCTGTTGCTGTTGCTGTTGTTGCACGGGATAAGCCTAATTGAATTTCGGTAGGCTTTGTTCCGGCACAGAGATCAAGCACAGCCCTTCAGCTCCCCACCCCCGCTCCTATAAACGTGACAGTAATAAATGATATATTGGCCATTCGGTCATTTAAGGTTTTCACTTGCCATCATTTTGCCAAAAATTTATAATTATTGTCTATTTCGTGAAATTTGTTGAAATTCTAGCCCTTGAAGTGATAGTAATATTGGAAGGCAAATTCAGACGACGGAAATGATTTTCTTAGTAATCTATCTGAAATAGACTTTCAGTGTATGAAACTGGATGAATTAAAATTAAATTAAAAATATTACTGGTTTTGTAATTGCATAGAACTGTAAAAATAATGATTTTAAAGTAATTTATATTTTATAACTCATAGCTCGGTTAGCTAAGCTATAACCCTTTATATAATTGATTAATAAACATTTTCCCAGGTAAGCTAGACTATAACCATTTAATTAAGTGATTTCTAGAAAGTGCCCTTCAATAATATATAATTGAAAAGTTGGTTAACATTCTATACAACAATATATATGACAATTGTGAACCATACTTTATGTTTTATTTCTTTTTTATTTCAAGGGCAATCATTCGAATTTACGATGACTATAAAACGAATATAATTAAACGCACTTTGCTGGACATAATCAAATTTATGAGTCTTTAGTTTTATAATTGTTTTCTTTATTTTTTAATTTTCATAGTGAATAAACTTAGTTGCATGACTTGTCATGAAAAGAAGTCATCAAATTTGTATATGACTTGGATATACTTAGCATATAGCATAAGCTTACCGTTCAGTCTTTCTGGTTGAGGTTGGTTGGGGTCTCCTGTGGCCATATATTCATATATATGTATATATATTCTTTGGTCATATCGCATTATAATGTCAACGTAATGTTGTCGTCAAATAGTTTTTCGCGTGACATTTGCATTTCAGTTTAGTTTGATATTCCGTCTCCGCGCCTCTCGGGTCCAATGACATTTCATTAGCTCGCCGAACTTCCCTCTCTCTCTGTCCGTCTCTCTTTCTCTGTCTCTCTCTCTCTCGCTCTCTCTCTCTCTCTGACTTTCTCTCCTGGGTTGCTGTTGTAGTGTAACGTGTGCCATTGTTTTTCATAGTCGTTTTATGTGCTGTTTATATTTTTATGGCATGCCATATAGTATTTAATATAGTATATGTATTTTTATAAGGTACATGACGCTATTAATCCCCCGACCCTTGAACTAACCGTCTATCATGTCTACGATAAAAGAATTTTATTATTTTCTTATATGAAGTTATAAAACGACTGGCATTTCCATTTTTTCTTTCTATTTTTTTTTTTTTTGCACAGTCAAGTTTTGCTTTTGTTTTTGTGTACCCATTGAAAATGCGTAAAAAGGGTATAATGTAGTTATGCAGGTGTCAGTAGCAGGCATATCAGAAAGCTATAGATTCTCTGTATATATCATATGCAGAAAAATATTATTATCTGTTATCGATTTCTGTGCAGTTTGAAACCCCGTCACTGACTGGGCGAACGCTGTAATCTCTTCCTGAAGACGAATCTCGACTGCATTCAAAATGTATCGGAGTATAAAAAATAAAAACATTTGACTTGGAGTCATCTAAAGATATATTTAAATGACATATTTTACTTCTCCCGTATATAGATATAAATCGTTTACCTTGATAACATTGGTAAATATGTTGGTTGAGAGTATCTCCTCGGCGTGCTGTCTCAAGAATAACTTTCTCACCTGTTAATACTCTGTTTTGCCAAAGAGAGCATTGGGTATGTGAGATTTGAGAACTCTAACTAACCGCATATTGAGTGTTATATACAAAGTTACAAAGTTAAAGTATTGCAGAGTCGGTGGCTTCTCATCGTCATCTTTTTATTTTCATTTTTGGCTACTTAACTCACAGGTTTTTTGTATTGTTTTGTTTTTCTGGGCTGGCGTTTCGTGTTTGTCGTTATTATTGTCTATAAATCTATGGCAGTTACAGCAACAACACGTTGACATTATGAATTTATTACTATTTAAATATTTTATATTTGTTATGGCCCTGGCAGGCGACGATGGCACCCAATAAGCGTTTCCCAGAGTTCTGACATTTTGTTTTCTCTTCATTTTCATTTTGCTGGGTTCGAGTTGGCGTGCGTAACTATTTATGAGTTTGTCTGGGTAAGTTTTGTGCTTAACAGGGTTATGAATACACTATTATATATATATATATAAATGTATGTATATATGCACATAGGTAAGTAGTTTGAGTAGGTCGTGAATTATCGATGCTGTCAGCAGTAAATATTTGTAATATATGCGATATAAAGTTATTTGTTGCACGAAACACGAGACGCGAACAAAGTGTCTCTTTACCAAAATCAACTTGCAACCATTTGTCTACACACACAATCAAATTACCTTAAATGGGGCTTTCATAATTGCCAAATTGTGGCTTTCAAGTGCCTATAGATTTTGGAAACCAGTTTCAGCATTTGCACTTTGAGTTTACATTTTAATCTTTATTTCAATTTATCACAATTTTATGGTGTATTTTGGAGAGAAGACATCTCTGACCCTATAAAGTATATCAATTCTGGATCAGCATCACTAGTCAAATAGATATAGTCATGTTTGTCTGTCTGCGAACTAGTCCCTCAGTCTTAAAGCTATCGTGATGAGGCCTGGAATCAATCCATCTTATTTCTGAAGGTAGTAGTTGGTATCTGGTATAATCTATTAAAAAACCGGAATGAATAAATATTCATATGAGGCGAGGATACCTGATCTGCCGGCATCTCATTTGCAGTCGTTTAACTATGGAAATGTACTGAGATGGGATAATAATTGGGAAATTGTTGATTGTAGTTTGCTGACTACTTAAAGGTTTCAATAGCAGTTTCCAAAAATAATTCAGGAACTGGAGTAATTTAATAGAGCATGAATTAAATTCAGAACAATTAAAATCAATTTATATGAATAAACACAATAATACAAAGCCATCGCTTATTGCCCGATACGGAATTAATTTTATCTACTTATAAATACAATAATGTCATCCAAAAAAATAGGTACGTATTTAAATAGGTACAGGGTAATTCTAGATCAACTTTCACAAATTTTTTTGTTTTTTATATCAAGCACGTGTTGTTCTATCTGATTTAAAATACAAATTTACTAATTTGTTTTTGCATATTTAGTAGTAAATTAAAAACATTAAAAAAACTATACAAAATATTTATAGGTTGGCTCTTATTTATTCATTGCGCTAAATTATGTCTCATTAAGTAGGCTGATTAGGAGAATTAGCCCTGAAAAATGGGTATGTATTTAATACTTCAAAAAGAAGATAAAGAAAAAAATGGAAATTGCTGCATCACTGCACTCAACGCCACTTAAAAAATTACAGCTGAAAAACATTTAAAATTATCATTAATGTTAATTTTCCAAATTACAACAACCAATTAGCAACAAAGGCACATTCCACCTGGTGTAAATCACTCGATGCAATAATTGCTTAAGGCCGTCCGATTGCAATGTAATAAGAATCTATGAAAGTGCCGCATAGAACGACTATTCAAAACAGGTGTTGAGAAAATAACTCAGAGTTTTCGAATAGAGAGTGCTCGACTGGGAGATACCCTGAACCCTAGTCATTACCTATTAAACTAACCGATCTTTAAACTAACCGATCTTTATGACATTTATGCGGGTAATTAATATTATAATTTGATTATTTTATATATCAATTGAATGACTATTGATATGGGCTAATCGGGAGTTTTATTCTAGCTTTTTAAGTCTTTCATGGCTAGATCGATTCGACTGTAGACTCTTATCAAATTAATATAAAAATACAAATACTTTATGGGTTGGCTGATGCTTTCTTCAGTCTGTTACATATTTTTGCACATCTTCATCATACCCGTTTATTCACCCATTCTGGGTTCAAAAACTAAGTGCGGGTTAAATGTACTACAGCTATTTATACGTTTTAAGTATAGCTTTCGGTGTATGTGTGTGTGTGTGTGTGTGTGTGATCATTCAGCTATATAAAAATATAAACAAAAACAACAACAATGCAGATGTCAAAATGATATAAAAGCGTACTGCTTATTGAATCAAACGAACAGTGTGAAAAATAAATCGAACGAAAAAGCACCATGAAATTTCTAATTGTTCTGGTTGCCTGTGTGGCTTTGGTTGCTGCTGAGGTAAGGGATCTACAGTGATCTATAATCGGACCATATTCACAATGTCGCTCTCGTTATTTCTCTAGAAATTAATGCTGACGGAGGAACAAAAGCAGCAGGCCAAGGTCTTTGCTGTTGCCTGCGGTGAACAGGAGGGCATATCCAAGGAACAAGCCATCGCTTTGCGTGATGGCAAATTCGAAAATGTCGATGAAAAGGTTAAATGCTTTGCCAACTGTTTCCTAGAGAAGGCCGGCTTCATTGTAAACGGCCAGATCAAGCCCGATGTTGTCCTGACGAAGCTCACCATCCTCGACGGCCTTGAGAAAGTCAAAGCGGTTCAGGCCAAGTGCGATTCGCTGAAGGGTGAGAATAACTGCGATACAGCCTTCAAGCTGTACGAGTGCTACCATCAAAATCACGCTGATATCTAAGTCAACCAATGGTATTACGAACCCACAAAATGATCTGTGAATTGTCAGCAATATTTTGTTGATCCAAAAAAAAATATATATATATTGTTAATAATGTGTAACTTGAATGTAAACAAATAAAAACCAGAGCTTTCCTATGTGTTGAAAATCAATTAAATTGAAATTTATTAATTTTCTTCAGCAATTTCCAATTTGAGCAGAGTGCATTTATCGTTAAGTAGAAGTTCTCCAGTTAAAATCTTATGGAAAAACTATGAGCTTGGTGAAACTTCAAAACTGTCCACATTCTTTATAATTGTAGGCTATTGTACAGCGGCTAGTCTCAAAGGTCATTTGGCTGAGAATTTGCATAACAGTTGGCCATCATTACGTGGCGGCTGTCAGACCGTCATCAGGCGTTAAGTCCTTGTGATCTCAGAGGCTCCCCAAGGTATTTGCACGCTTATGCAATGCATAAATATTGATAAGCGCCGCTTCAAAAAAACTTGTGCACTTTTTTCCACTGTACTCGACTCATTTTTATTTGCGGGGCGTATGGGTAATGTGTGTTACAAATGAATAGGCACAAAAAGTCGTTTTATATTGTTGTTGTTGTTGTTGTTGTTGATGTTTTTGTGCTTGCTCAAAAGCCAAAATCCAATTAACAAATCATTAAACATTCATTGGGCACGTGTCGCAATTGCAATTGCCAGTAGATCAGTGAGGTGTGCTCAGGGTATTCATACACTGTAAAAAAAGGATAATCGCCTTAAAATATAAAGCAACAAGTTTATTAAACTGTTTGGTATTTCAGCTCTAAATAAATTGGTTACAAGAAGGGAATGTTATGATTATATATAAGCTACATAGACTGGCTCCGATTTTCCATTTCTATCGATAAAGATTCAGTCCGGTTTCGGCCTTAAATCAACTTTCCTCTTTTTTTAAAGATGTTTCTAAATTTACAAGGCATGAGTGTGATTCATTAACTCCTTCTTGAATAACAAGATGAGCTGCGATTTTCCAAGCGACGGGCTCTGTTTTGTTTTGAGTGTAAACTTACAGGGTTGCTGCGCCGGGTGGGCTTCACGTTGGGATACGCTTCGCACGTAAAGGACAATCGCTTGGGGAATTTGGAGCTGTGCCCAGCTATTAGCTATTAGCTTGGCGTCAGCTGACTGACTGTCTGACTGCCTAGTTGGTTGGTTGCTTGGTTGCTAGGTTGGTCGGTTGGTTGGTTGGTTGACTGCTCGGTTGGTTTTGGCGTGTATAATTCATTTTGTCACTTCCTGGCCAGAACGGTCTGACTGACTGTCATGTCACTTCCATTTAGCATCCGTTTCAGTTGCAGTTGTCTGCACACAAAAGCCTTGGCATAATCACTGATGCGTTTACTAATGTCTATTAAAAAGCAAACCCCTGCCAAGATGCCCACCCACTCACACACCCACACAAACCCCCACCACCACGCCCATGTGGCGCCCCAACCGCCATGTGGCGCGACGAGAAACAGCTAATGCATTTAAGTAGACAGCTCGTGGTTTCGAGCGCTGTGTGGCGGCTTGTCAAAGAAAAACCCACACGCGTCCTGCCAAAGGGACAAACACATTGATGCTTCGCTAGCCTTTGTCTTGACAGACAGACACACTAAAGGACTGAGCGACAGACAGACAGACAGACAGAAAGACAGTCAGACTGAGAGATAGGGAGACAGCCAAGTAGCTGGTCGCAACTTTTCTTATTTCGCTTGTCTTGTCTCTGCCTTGTTAGTTGGCTCAATGAGTCTGTGACTTGTTCTTTCGGGGGTTGGGGTTTGATGGGGGAGTGTGGGTGGTTGCCTGCGGTTCTCACATTAATGTAATTTAATTTTATAAAAACTACGCTCAGGGGGGTTGTTAGATATATTGTGCGATTGACAGTTCAACTGTCTTTACTTTGATCTTAAAGACATACTGACTGTCCAGGTTCTGTGTCCCGTTTCCTGTATTTTCTTCCCTGTTTCTGTTCTAGATAATCGGCCCACGTCTGTTGCTGAGGTCATCAATTAGGGATTGCTTTTAGGAATAGTGGCTAACTCGCTGGCGAACTTCAATTCAGTTAACAAATATCTCGAATGCTGATAAGATTCTGGGACTAGCTTAAGAACCCAGTGCCAATTTTAAGTAATTGGCAAAAAAAAAAAAAAAAAATCAATTGTAAAAGTGAATGAAAAATCAAAGAAGTGTAAAATAATGTTAATTATTTTAGTAATTAGTTGACGAAATTATCCATATCATTATAACTAAAAAATAATAATAAACAAAAAACATCTAAAAAATGATATCAATATAATGATACTTTAAGCCGCTTATAGCTTATCTATATAGTCTACTGATCATTCTCTAGCCACGCACTGAGGCATGTCCTTTAAGCATTATTTATATAAAATATTCTAAATATAAATGCCACCTCATCGCAGCTATTAAAATAATCTTAATAGTGATCGGAAAAATGTATTTTTCTGCTTGAATTCGGTGGGTCTATTAACCGTCAAATTATTGGTACTTAACGTAGATCCATTCCCGATTTGTGACTATTGAGGCATGCAAAATTTTGGCCAGCCATTAAATACCAATTAAAACTGATAAATATCTAAAGCAGGAGACCCTATAAAAAGCAGTGCATGTGCGTCAGAGACATATATAAATGTTATTGGATCGCTTTTGGAAGTATTACCAAATAGAAGTGGAGTCACAATTAAATGTATACTCGAATCACCCCATTGTTGGCGCTGTGCCTGTATTTGAGCAATCTACCTCAACTGGCATGGGTAATGTAGAAAGTTGGACCAACAAAAAAGAGAAAGTTTCATTACAAGTAGAAAGTAGAAGGAAAGCTTCTCATAGAAGCTCTCTGTACTCGCTCTCTCTCTCTATCGCTATCTCTCTCTCTCACTCTATTTAGACCCGTTCGCTCTCTGTGTCGCTAAACATGTCCTTGACACGCAGCGAAGTGGAGGATGAGAATGTGACGTTGACGTCGGCTGGGGCGCCACAGATCAGTCAGGAGTTGCTGCAGTCGTGCATGAGGGAGACAGAGATATCGATGTCACAGCTGAAATTCTTTCGGCTCAGCATGTTCTTCAACGAGAACACCAACAGGGAACTGGCCATGGCCGCTGGCGACGGTGATGGTGATCTGAATAATGGCAACCTGGTTGATTTGGACTTTGACAATACATTGCCTTATTTAAATCTGAAGCGCAATGAGCCGCTGCAGTGCTTTGTGCGCTGCTTGTACGAGAATCTTGGCCTCGTTCACTACGATATGATGCTGGAGGATGCGTTCCGGATGCAGCTGCACACTCTAATGCGACGCTTGAAGCCGGAGCTTAAGGAGTGCAACGAGATGACCAGCAAGAATCGCTGTGAGGCTGCCTATAAGCTGCGCCTGTGCTACAATCATCTCAAAAATCTGGAGGCGGAACAGCGACTACGAGAGGTGCTCGAGCATAGCGATTCTTCCACCGATCTGACAGCAACTGACAACGATGAGAACGAGAATGGCAATGAGAATGGCAATGAGAATGGCAATGAGAATGTTAGTGGGCATGAGAATGAGAATGATGGTGAAAGTGAGCATGAAAATGAGAGTGTGGTGAGGGCAGCGAATGCTAAGGCCAATGAGTTCATTGATGCCATTCGGCGTTATACTGAGCAAACGACTGAAACGGAGTAGATCAACGCGAGCAAGTCTATTATATATGTATCCATAACATTGTATATGTATCTATAACGTTGTATATGTATCTATTACATGTATATGAAAGTAACATTTGTTCAATAATAAAATGTGTGGCCAGCTTTTGGGCTGTGCATGTTGAATTACATAAACTTACTGCATAACTTTCGGCTTTACTCGAGTAGTTAGAGATAAATGTTCTGCTTTTGAGTCTGTCAATAAACAATGCTGCTTTTAATTGGAAGTGCAGTTAAACATCTCATACAATTAACTAACTAATTACTTTAACATATCATTCAGTTGCCATATGAATAATTGGTCAGTTTTATAATTTTATGAAAGAGTTTGGATGCCATAAGACTGACTCCCCTATGCAAGGGTATTTCATCTTCGTTGCGCCACAAATTTAATAATATGCTATAAATATTTATGGTAATAAAATGTTAGCATCGAGATTTGTTTGGTTTGTGAAATGAAAATAAACAATCTAATTAAACTGAGTCCACAATCGAGTTATTTATTCGAAAGATTAAAACACTCGTCAACAAATTATATAAACTATTGGAAAAAAGTTATGTTTTATTAAATAACGCAAACATATATAAATTGAATTAAAAATTAATATTAACAATGTTTACTGAAACAAAAAAAGAAATCGGAGCAAAACCAATTTAACGCTACGATTTTTAATATTTTACAAAGAAAATTGTTTTTCAATTCACACCTATAATTAAATTTAATAACTTAATTAAATAAATTCGGGGAAATACAATTAACAAGCCAAAGCTTTGACTATTTAAGCAGCGTGAAAGCATAAATCAAATCAGTTCGAAAATATTTCAACAAGATGAAAGTTCAAATATTTGTTACCATTTTTGTGTTGTGCTCATTCTCTGAGCTGGTTTTGGTAAGATTGAAGACTGTCATTTGATATGTCCAGGATATGAATTCTAATAATGATATACACAGTCGCAGAGTGCTGCCGATTTGGCTGCCTATCAGGGCCTGCAGAAGGCTTGCATCAAGGAGCTGAATATACCCGATGCGGAGGCGGCACAAATCACAGACGGCAAGAGTGTGTCGAATGGCTCCGAGGGATACAAATGTTATCACAGTTGTCTGTACAAGAAACTGGGCCTGGTCACTGCGGATGGCAAACCAAATAACGATGCCGTGATCAAGTACACCCAGGCACGCTACAGTAAAGTGCCGGCCGACAAGGTCAAGAGCCAGTTGACCAGCTGTTTTGGCAGCACTGCAAAAAGTGCCAACAGTTGTGAATTTATCGGCAACTTTGAGCAGTGCGTGTCGAAGGCACTTTAGGCCTGAGGGGTGGACAAATAGAGCCAACTGCACTTTGCATAAATGATAAGCGAGTAGCAGCAGCAGCAGCAGCAGCAGCAACAATCACGCGTCGAAATCCGTTAAATAATAAAGTTATTTTACAATATTAACGCATTTGCTGCATAATCTGAGGTGTGGGACGCACTCATTGTGCATTTAATTATGCAAATTGAAAATGGCAAATGAGCCAACGCACAACACAACAAAAACGCACACACATACACACACACATATTTATCACATATATAGTAGATATATGTATATACACAAATATGTATACATAATCCATTTAAGCTGCTGGCTTGTGCCCAGTCCAGAGGCCAGTAAAGCTGCAATTAAGCTGTGACAAAATGTGACGCAACACAGTAGCCAGAGCGAAAAGTTACCCAGTCGGACTCTAAGCTTATATTTCTGTAATAGTGACTAGCACCTTGAGAAGCACAAATAAAACACATTACATATGCAAATATTAATTGTAACGAAAAGCATGAATTAATTTTTGGTATCACTTCAAAAAGTGCAGTGTCAGAAGTGCTTTTGAGCATGCATTGCAATTTGATTGGGTAGGCAATACACTGAAAGAGATACTCCCCACCACACTCCATCGCCCTGAACAAACACACATTTTGTTTTGCCTATTATGAATAACAGTAATTATTATTGTTTTTCAATGCAAGCATAAATTAATTACAATTTGTCAGCATGTGCAGCTGGACGCTTTAAATTGACGCATCATGCTTCAATTTCTCAAGGCACTCGTGCAATTTGAATGCCGTATCACAATCACTCTTTCCCTTGAGGTGGCCGCACTTGGATATTATTTTGCGTATCGTCTCCTCACCGATTAGTGGGCCAAAGACGTGCAGCACATGGTCCTCCTGGATGACACCGTTCTTCAGGGCGCCAATCTTCTCCAGGGTGCAGTTGATAAAGCACTTCAAATTGTCGCTGGGACTCGAGAAGTCCTTGACCTTCAGCTTGGCGATCTCCTTATCGGACAGGTGGTTCTCCTTGGTGCAAAATTCATCATGCTGCTTGATCAGCTTGATTATATCCTCGTTCAGGTCCAATGGCTGGATGCGGTTTCAGTTTTGAAAAGGAATCATGAAGAAAAGACTACGTTTTTATATATTATAGATAACCCATCCTTTGCAACATCCTTTTAGACAGGACTTTTAGGTATAGAAAGATAAAAATGAAATCCCTTAACTGTTGTAGTTCTTCATCATTTATGTTATGACTGAATTTAGCTTTATATCTACCAGATATTGAAGATTATTCAATAAACCATTATTCTTTTATTGACCCATTTTTAAGCTACTGTTGAGCTTATTCTTGGTTATTGATATCTTATGCTTTCTGATCATAATATAAATGTACTTCCCCGCTTTTTCATTCATAGTATTTACTTCTTTCAGAGTATCTCACATTTTCTCTAAGTAACTGTCATTTCTATTACACAAATCACTTCAATTCGAACCTAATTTTGCGGCTTTCGAGCACTTACCGTTGCCACAGCCACAAAGGCAACACTTAAGGCGATCACAAAAATTAAATTCATTTTAACTTATTAGAACGCAGTAGAATATCTGTTTTTGGTTCGATCGCAGCTTTGAGCTTATATAGTCGAAATTTCTGGGTACTGAAAGCCGGTTTTCGCTGCTTAATAGCCCCGCGGTAATGATCATAATATACAAGTTATCGCCTTTCGACAAGTTTTATATCAACTTTGACGCTATATTTTTTGATTACTTTTTTGTGTTTTTTTCCTTAATGACTTTCATCAAATTTAAAGCTGCTTTTGCGATTATCCAAACGAATAATTATTTTATATATATGTCATTTAGATTTGTTTTTGCTCAGAGAGATACTCCCACAAATGACCCTATTTTAAAAAAACACATATTTGGATTTGCTTTTGTGAAAATTGTGATTATTATTGTTTTTTTTTTTTTTTTTTCAATGGAAGCATTAATTGATTACAAGTTGTCTGCATGTGCACCTGTTTTAAGCTTTATAGTTTATGCCTTGACTTCGACGTGCTTGAAAGGCTCAAAGCACTCGTACAACTTGGTTGCAGTATCACAGTTGTTTTCCCCCTTGACGGAACCGCACTTGGCCAATGCCTCACGTGTCTTCTCCTCACCGATGAGAGCGCCCAGTTTCTTTAGGACGGCATCCTCCTGGATAACACCGTCCTTGAGGGTGCCAGCCTTCTCGAAAAAGCAGTTGGAGAAGCACTTCATGTTCTCGGTGGGGTTCTTGAAGTCCTTGGCCTTAACCCTGGCCTTCTCTTCTTCGGTCAGATTGATCTCCTTGTAGCACTCCTCACCATATTGCTTAGTCAGAGTCTTCTGTTCCTCGGACAGTTCCACGGGCTGCATGCAAGATAGATATAAAGATATAAAGGATTACCATTAGCAAAATAATAATAATATTTGTTGCTTTCTTCTTTAGTTTTGTGTCCATCTTCCTTTTTTTCTTGATTACTCCAAACTATATAATATTTTGTACAAATTCTAGTTTACAGTTTATATTTCTAATGCTTTCTAAAAGTATCTATTTTTTTCCCTAAGGATTGGTTCTCCTGTTCTAATATTCTGACTGCTGTCGAGAACTTACCGTTGCCACGGCCAGAGCCACAAACACAGCACTCAAAGCGATCACAAGAATTGGATTCATTTTGACTTGGTATGAATTGCTAGAACGTTGAAGAAGTTCTGATGTTGGTTCGAGCTCAGCGTTGAGCTTTTATAGTCGAAACTTGCTGATCATCAACAGTTTATTTTCTCGTATTGTTTGTTAATAGCCCCATGGCAATGATCTATTCGAGCTAGCTGTGTTTTTTTTTTTTTGTTTTTTTTTTGAGGTAAGCTCGGTGTACATACATCAATTTACTTTTAGTGCTTTATTTTCATTTTGTTTTTTTCCATAATGGCAAGTACTTTCGTCAACATTTTGCCTGCGGGCGCGATCTATGAAAGACAATTATTTTTGCTTTGTTTTTTTTTTTCATATTTGTTTTGTTGTTTGCCTTCTATTTGTGCTTTGGCTCATTTGAGTCGAACTACGATCGAATCAATTATGTATGCAGACAGGCATTGTGCAGACTGTCTGAAGTGAGGTGTCTCGAGATCTATTGCTTTTACCTTTATGTTTATATTTTACATATAGAGTACATACTTTTTTTTATATATTTATTTTTGGGTGTAGATTTAGGAGGGCGACTTGCCAGCAGCTGCTTAATCATTATCGCACTACTCAATCAGCAGACCAAATGAAACTTTGCACTTTGGCCAAACAAACTCTCCCGCACTTTTCAGATATATCAGCGATAGAGAGAGAGAGTGAGGGAGAGGGAGAGTGTAAGTCGTATTGAAAGTTGAGATGGGCGCAAGAAAGTAGAGCGGAGTAAGGAGCAGAGGAAGGGCGAGGCGAGTGCACAAGTAGAAGAGACAGACGACGGCAAAGTTTTTTCATTTGAATCCTATTATTTCAACGTAGTTGTAATCTTATTATCCACGAGATGACAGCAAAATGACATTTAGAAAATTTCACGCTGTGTGAAATGTACACAAAAACAAACAAAACCAAAGCGAATAACGCCAATGCAAGAAAGTCAGCAGAGCAATGCGTGGTGAGTGGAGTTAGCAGCAGCAGCAGCAGCAGGAGCAGGAGCAGGCAGCTTGGAGGAGGAAAAGGAGCTGGAGCAGAAGCTGGCGCTGATGCGTAATGCGGCTGCCACTTCTAAATGGCTGCTGCTTTCTCTGCTTCTGTCCCAGCCTCGCCTGCTTCGCCTTCTTCGCGTTTTTCACCAAGTTTTTCGCCCGCACTTGTCTGCCTGTCGCAGCTTCCCTTTTAATTTCAATTCTGACATTTGTTTGTCTGCTGTCAAAATAAAGTAGCTTTTGCACCAAGAGAAATAAACCAAAAACAAAAAAAAAACAAACAACAAAAAAAGATTGCGATTGAAAATTGCCAACGCTTTTGCCCAACCCAACCCACATTTACCCATCCCTCTGCTCTCCTCTCAAATAATAATAACAATAATAAACTAAAGCTTGTTTGACTTTGTGTAAATTCTTTGAAATCCTCACGTGGTAATCTTAATTCAATTTGCTTGCGGTTCTCGCAACAAAACACCCAAAACCAAAGTCAGCCTCAAAATGTATATGAAACTGACATTTTGCTTACCACAATCTGAGAATGCGTTGCTTTTCGCATGTTAAAATTAAGTTGGGCTTAATTTATGCCAAGTATTTATCATGGGGACAGCGTGTACAGCAATTAAAAGTTATATATTTATTGATTGGCTTAAGAGATTTAAATTTGCATATTAAAATAATATGGTTCATTTATTCAATTTGTGAAATATTATTCGATTTTCATTTAATATTTTATTATAAATATTTGCTCATAATTTCGCATATTTGTACAGCTAAATTGACAGTTGCCAATGGCAGCGAGTATATATGTTGTCGACAGAGAATTCATTGTGCCACGAATGGCAAAAGACCTCGAAGTATATTTAGATAAACAGAAAAAATAGGTCAGATGCCTGAAAATATAGTATAGCTTTTCGAGACAGTCAATGATGCTTTAGGGGATAGTGAGTAACTCCAATATGGAAATACTCCAGAAATCGAGAAAGACTCAAAGATATCTAGTCAGACTGTCCAACTATTAAAACCTAATCGTAATACATTTATTAGATAATAGTAAGGACTTAAGAGTCAGGAACAGAAGTCATATTTATGACCTTTCACTTGTATATTTATATATAAGAGACTCTAAGTTTAACTCTCACTTTTCTCAGAATTGATAGATTGCGCTAGTTAACTCCAAAAGCATCCTGACTTTATTTATCCAATATTCCCCGCTTATGATGGACTTAAGTGTGAAGCCTAGAAGCAATTTATGTACTACGCTTAACGCTTGAATTATCTATAAAGCGTTATAAATAGAGTCAACAAAGAATACCCAGCTAGCTAGACAATGAGCATAGCTTTGGGGGCAAAGCGAGTTACCGAATGGCTTTTCCATAAGCTCCAATGCTCTCTCACCCCCTCTCTCTCTCTCCCTCTCTCTCTCTCTCTCTCACTGTGTGTAAGCAACAGCGCCAAACAGATGTCTTTTCTCTACTTTTTTGCCCACTCCTCCTGGTTTACCCAACTCGTCTGCTAAGCTACGCTAGAAATTAAGTACAATTTTCATTTTAAATTAAGCTGCCAAGGCGGGCAGGCTCCCCCAACCTGGTCTCGTCCCCAAACTGACTGCTTTCGCAGCATTCGACGTCATTAATCACCACAGGAGCAACAACAGCAACAACAGCAACAACAACAATATTAACAATAGCAGCAACAACATTGTTAGAATGGGCATTTGTCAGAGAGCCTTTTGGGTTACTCTTCCTGCTCTTCTCAAGCATTTTCTAATCGTCCAAAATGCTCGGCCGAGCAAAACTTGTGCAGCACATGTCAGAGGGTGGCACCATCTATCCCCCAACCAACCCACTGCCCCCATTAACTATGTAAACTCCAATTGGTAGCCCACCTGTCTAAGGAGTGTGCTGGGTGGGGTGTGGGGTGTGGGGGGGGGTCTGCCTGCTTTTTGAGAAAAATGGTCGCTAAATTTGCGTGAAAAGGCAAATAATTTCGAAATTCCCGGGGGGTTCTAAATAAGTAAATTTAAATTGCATTTGTATGCGTTCCCAAAAATTTGCTGCCCTTTATTTATTTGTACATTTTACCAACTGCCACCTTCTCTTTTTGTTGTGGGTGGTTTGGTTATGTTTTTTTTTTTAGTGGACGCCACAATAAGTTGCTGTTGCTGATGTTATAAATTTGCGTGTCAAAAGCGACGCGGTAAAGTTTTTTTGATGTTTCGCATACGAATTCGAATGCCCTTCCTCCTTCTCCCATTAGTCCCCCACTCTCTCCCACTCTCCCATGCATGATGTGCTTGTGCAAATGTTAATGTCCTTATCAGCGCTTCAGCATTTTTACATGTGTCCCGTTTGAAATATGCGCCGCTGTTTTTCTGGCGCTTTGCATGCGGTCGAGTCGAGTTTGGTGGTTTACAATACCCTGTAACAAGGCTGCAATGGGGCATATTAAGTGGTTGCACGATTCTAGACATAGAATAAATATAGAATGTTTATGCTGGATTCAAGTATTTGTGCTATCGAAGACAAAGTGTCAAACCGAAACGGTTTTCGGTTCCTGTTCTTGCTCTGAGGTTCAATCGGTTAATATCGGTTAACAGTTTCGGTTAAGCTTTTGAATTGCATTCGGTTAATATCGGTTAATGGTTCCGCTTCCATTTCCAGTTTGAACCTTAGATTGATTTCCTTTATTCTAGATTGAAACCTTTAATCAAGTTTCTCTTCTAACTAATAATTTGGCTTGTAAATCAATACAAGTCCATCTCTAAATTCAATCCGAAATTATTACAGGGTATATTGGAAAAGAGTTTTGCCATTTGAAATAGTTTATTCTCTCGTTTGCTTTTTGTGTGTGGCTTCCGTTGCAGTTGATGTCAAGTGTCAAGTGTTGGACAGTTGAAGTTATTTATTATAACGACAATTACATAGGAACCAACGTTGCTGGTGGTGGTGGTTCTGGTGGTGGTGCCGCTGATGGTGGTGCATAGCGGTTCACGTGTTGTCAGAGCGTTTTGCCGTTTGTCAATAATTACATTTGTGTTAAATGTAAATTAGAAAATGCCACAGAAGTCAGCAGAAAAAGAAGTGGCCATAATATGTTGCACGTACGTTGTATTTATAGCCACTGGCCACACCCACCAAAAACACTCACTCACACCCACCCCACTCTCAACAGTAATAAAATTTGCAACAAAAAAAGAAAACGTAACAGAAAGTAACAGAAAGTTACGCCCACATTTTGCTGGTTGCCTGAAAATCTGTTTTGCTGCTTTGCTCAGATTTCGTCTTTGTGTTTGTTGCCTTTCTAGAGAGAGAAGAGAAAAATTTGCTAATGTAATGATGCTTAAAAGTGTTTCAAAGTATTTCTAACCATTTGCCATGTTTATTTTTATTTAAATGCCAACATGTGTGTATATATGTATATATATATATATATATCCTGTGTGTGCGAGTCTGTCTGTCTTTTGGGTATTTGCATTTCTGTTAGAGGGCGTTTGATTGAATTGAAAATGCTTGCCAAAAATGTACCCCCCTTTTTTCCCAGCATTCTTCTTCGCCTTCTTCTTCTGTCGTCTTCCATCCTCCTTCTTCTTCCTCGTAGCTTCGCCTTTGCTATTGCGTCTTTCTTGTGAACTGCTTTCCTTAAGGGTTAAAGCGACTCGCACATAATTTGCTAAATGGCTTAAAGTGTGAGCTGCTCAGCATTGAAATCAGTGTAAAACCCCAGACAAATCAACAATAGATTTACGCAAATTTCGCAATTTCGCCTAAAATTAGAATATAATGCCATTCTACGGTTCTTAATTTAGACTTGCTTAAGTAATTGACTGCTGATTTTATGTATTGCCCGCATATTGTGCTCTTTTGCCAGATTTTGAAGTTGGCTCGAAAATCTTCCATCCCCAAAAATGTAGCTTTGGCAATGGGTCCAAACTATTACATTCCATAACTTCTTTAAAGATTGTCCGATTTTCAAAAACCAGCACTTTTCGATCATGATTTGACCTCAGGAGGAATACTACATTTAAAGTTTGAAACGCTATTCAGACTCAAAT